GATAGAGATGAGGTTACAAGTAAGAGAGGGAACATTAAGGACTATGTTCAAAGTAATGTGTTTAGAAATTTTAATGTATCCTTTTCCAGCAATAGTAGAGAAGCTGCCATCGGCTGTTCTTATTCGTGTCTGTTGATAGTTGGGGGTATAAGAACAAAACAAGGTTGCATTACTTGTCATATGATCTGAAGTCCCTGAATCAAGAATCCAACGACTATTATTATCAACATGGAACGTCGTACCTTGTTGGGCCACAAAACTACTATTATCAACCAGATTCCCTCACAGACTCCATGGGTTAAAGTTCGAAATTCTGCTGAAGCACTACTTCTTGCAACCGCTGTTTTTTTTTGCTTCTCCAAGTTACAAGATTTCCCCACACATAGGTGCAATGGTCTGAGGTATATCTCCTGTCCACTGATAAACCTACCTATTTTGCATCAGTGTAGAATTTAATTGTCCTATTATACCCCTTTCTAATGAATAATCCTCTGACTGGAATGTTCGAGGTATCTAAGCACGCTATAGACTACACTTAGATGTTTCTCCTTGGGTGAGTGCATGAATTGACTAATCATACTCACAACAAAGACAATGTCAGGTCGCGTGTAGGATAAGTAAATTATTTTGCCAATCAATCTCTGATATTGCTCTTTGTTCACCTCATTTCCATTTTCAATACCTAACTTGGTGTTAGGTTCCACAGGTGTCTCAGAAGGCTTACATCCTAACATTCCTGTTTCCAGCAAAAGATTTAGGACATACTTCTTTTGTGAGAGTGGTGCTCGCTTTGCTCCAAGCAACTTGCATACCAAGGTCCTTTAGTTCAAATTGAGCTACTAGATACTCCTTCAAGGAGTTCAATTCCTCATTATCGTCACCTGTAAGAACTATATCATCCACGTACAGAATAAGAATAACAACTTTACCATCCTTAGAGTGTTTGTGGAAGAGAGTATGATCAGTCTGTACTTGAATGAAGCCTCTTCCTTTGACAGCTTGTGTGAATTTGTCTAATCATTCTCTAGAAGACTGTTTCAACCCATAGAGAGCCTCTTTTAGTTTACACATTGATCCATCTCCCTTTTTAAGCCAGGTGGAGGATCCATATAGACCTTTTCATTTATATCACCATTTAACTGTTGCATAGGCCAATCTCGGTTGGCAGCAAGTGATAAGAGAACTCGGATGATATTGACCTTAGCAACTGGAGCAAAAGTCTCATAATAATCTATCCCATGAGTCTGGGTGAACCCCTTCGCAACTAATCTTGCCTTGTATCTGTTGATGCTATTATCTGCATTGAATTTTATTGTAAGCACCCAATTTTTCCTTTGGTAGGGTCACTATCTTCCAAGTTGCATTTCTTTCTAGAGCATTCATTTCTTCAAAGACAACATCTCTCCATTTTGGATCATTGATAGACTCATGTATATTTATCGATATCGTTGTACTGTCTAACATAGTATTGAAAGCACGGAACTTTGGGGACACTTTACATATGAAATATGATTAGAAATAGGATGAGTAGTACAAAATCGAGTACCTTTTCTGAGAACAATGAGCAAGTGTAGATCATTTTTGTCATGGGACTCAAGTGTCTGAGAGCAATGAATAATGTTTTATGGTACTAGAACAATTTTCCCAGCCTTAAGGATGGTTGATCTAGGGGTGGAACGAACCCGCTCTTGATATCATATTGAAAGATGTAAAAAAGAGTTTTTTGTATTGATACAATTGATTTACACTAATAGGAGTTATTTGTACAAGTGAAAAAATGAAAAAAATAGATAAGAATAACTCAGCAATGAGTCGTCAGTCCTATCCTATCATGACTCAACAATCATATCCTATCATGACATAGCAAATTTAAAAATTCAAATATCCTAATTTCTTACAATAAAATATAACTTTCTGTTTCTGACTAGCAAAGACGGCATGTTTTTGGTCCTTCTTGATGTACTCTGTCTTGAAATCTAAAAATTAAGCCAAATTACGTGAAAGTAATAAGCTATTAGTGTTATGGACTTTTTTCTTGTCTTTTTTGTCTGTCATTTGTTTTGTTGTGGTCAAAATTATAGGGTTAAGGACTTTACATGAGGAAGGAAGATAAAGGAGATAAAATAGACTATAAATGATATTCTTGTGTGTTATTAATGTAACACGAAAGACAAAGTACCAATCCCTATTTATACTAATAACTAACTATCCCAATAAATGATATTCTTTTGTGTACATTAATGTAACACGAAAGACATAGTACTAATCTCTATTTGTACTAATAACATACTTATATCCTAATTTGTTGGTAATTGTAGTAACTATGTGATGGGTCTAAAAGTGAGTGGGTCACTTAGTTATTCTAGAATATTCTGTGAGTAGGACAAAAGGAAGGGAGGTGTGGAGAGTGAGAAAAGCATGTATTGAGTGGATTTGGGGAAGGATCTCTTGGGATCTCTTTGGTGCATAGTTGTGTTGGTCTTGGAGAGTGAGTGAGGTCTTTTGGGTTTATTTTCTGCATTTTATCTTTGTAAGAATCTTGGCTCCATTTCAGTTTTCATCATTTTCAGTTTTATAAAATTAGGTTCCTCCAATTTCCTGAAAGTAGGGAGTTAGTTAGAGAATTATTCTAGAAGGTTCTTAGGGAATAGGATAAAAGGAGGGGAAGAGTGTGTATTAAGGTAGGCAGGTATTCAGTAGGGGAATTTTAGGGATCTCTTGGGTACTTGGTAGTTGGTTCTAAGGGGGAGTTGAGGTCTTTTGGTTTATTTTCTGCCATTAGTGCTTGTAAGGAGCTTGTCTCCATTATTTTACTTAATACAATTTACTGGTTCCATCATTTTGGTGTCAGAGCACTACAATCCTGGGAGTGCTCTTTGATCCAGATCTATCAAAAAAAAAAGAAAAAGGGAGGAATCAATGTTGGAGAGACCGAGGCTTGAATACGAGAAGATGAAGTCTGAGAGTTTTTAAAAAATCGAAGAAAAAAAGAAAAGAAGAAAGAAAACGTAGGAGCGGAAGGAGGAAAAAAAGGAGAATATGCAACAGCCAAAGGTGCAGAAGAAGGAGGAAACGAAGAAGAAGAAATCAACAACGAAAAAGAAAAAGAAATCAACAACGAAGAAGATGCAGTGGTTGCAGAAAAAGAAGATGCAATAAAGAACAAGGAGACAGGAAGACGAAGAAGAAGAGAAATAAGAAAATGAAAAAGAAGATGAAGAAGAATCAGAGAAAGACGAAGAGAAAGAAGAAGAAGAAGACGATGAAGGAGATGAGCAACATCTCTAGCAAAAACTGGAAGGGTTCACTGTGTGTGTGCAAGTGGGAGTGAAAATGGTGTCAGGGGCTGATTGGGGCGAGCTGGAGTTGTTGTTAACAAAGTTTGCTGACATTTTCAAGGAACCACAAGGCCTTCCCCCAACTAGAAGACATGACCATGCCATAATTTTGAAGCCAGTTGTTACGACTGGGGGAAAACAAGAAAACAAGTCACATAGGCAAGAATCAGTCATATGCTTTAAGCAATGGGATCCAGGTGGAATCCTAGTCTCTTCCTTCACCTCGAGGACAAGGTGAATTTTGGACGGAGAGTATTGATGGGCCTAAAAGTGATTGGGTCAGCTAGTCATTTATTATAGAATATTCTGTGAGTAGGATAAAAGGAAGGGAGGTGTGGAGAGTGAGAAAAGCATGTATTGAGTGAATTGGGGGTGGGATCTGAGGAAGGATCTCTTGGAATCTCTTTGGGGCCTAGGCGTGTTGGTCTTGGAGTGTGAGTAAGGTCTTTTGGGTTTATTTTCTGCAATTTAGCTGATATGAACCTCACCAAGAATAGTGAGACCCAAGCTCAATTTAGTTAGAATCGTTTCTATAATCAGGAATTTAAATAAGAAATAAAGAACTTTAACTCATTATCTATGGAAGATAAGAACCAAAGATATAAGAAGGACAAAGACACCACACTCAAGAAAGAAGAAGGTGAGTGATAAGTCTGGTTTGAACACCACAAGAACAAGCTTCTTGATAAGTTCAGAGTTCTAAATAAGAACCAAAGAGAAGAAACCTCTCTATTGATATTATAACTTCAAAGTCTGATTACAAGAATTGTATCCTCCCTTATTTATACTTGGAACATCCCTCCAAGAATAGGAAAAGACTAACAAATGAAAAGACACTAATTTAAAGTTGACAACTTGGAAAAGGAAAAGACTCTAATCAGCCCACTAAACATTAATGACATTGAAAATTGCTAATTATTCCACTCAACCTCCCTTGCATTGATAGCATTAACTAAATTCTGATTATGATTTAATTTGAACTTGAAGTCTTCATGATTAGCCCACATTTGCTGGATCAACCCATTAAGAGCTTCTTTAAACTTCTTGGCATGACCTTGTGATTGGCCAATTTGGTAATTGATGTTGTTTCCTTATTCATGTCATTATCTTTGTTAGGAGCTTGGCTCCATTTCTTTTTTTCATCATTTTCAGTTTTACAAAATTAGGTTCCACCACTATGCAAATAGTATCTTGCTGATTATGTAAATAGGATAGTTAGAATCATGCAATTGCGGTATTTGGATGTTAATTCAAATGATCAATTGCTGATGTTTCACCAATTCTTTGGGAGTTCCTAATACAATTTATTTTTGTAATAAGCTTGACACATTTCCTCTATCTTCTAGCTTGAAGAGGAGTATTAGAAACATGTATTATCATGTAAATGTACAGGTTAAGTGTATAATGTAAATGTAGTAATTAGGAATATTGTATCTTTATATTTATTACTTTCATTATATATATATCAAGCATGTGGTATAGTTGAGACACATGTTTTTCAGCCTCTTTTCTCGCTGTCTCAACAAGTAAACTAAAACATGTGAAATTTGTGAGGTGGTTGTTTATGCTTGCTAAATCTTGTTTTGGTTAGAAATTGTTGCCTTCTTATTTTTGTCTTGATTTCGTTATGTGACTTCATGCAAAGTTTATTGTCTATTGCAGGTATCGTTATATCTTGATAAGTTCTCTGGTGTATGTCAATCGGTTCTTCATGAGTGTAAACTTGCCTTTTTACAAATCATATGTGATCATGATCTTTTTGTGGAAATGCCTGGGAGAGACCCTTCAGATAGGTACTTTATTGGTATAGTGATTATTTGATTACTTTTATTTATGACATGTTATCATCCAAATTAATGAGGTGAGATTTTTAGCTTTGTTTTTTAATTGTTGTGCCTTTTATACTCCTTGTCAATCTTATTAACTGATGATAGTTCTAGTTGTCAAAATGCTCATTGAGATGTCATCATAATGATTATGGATGGTGTAATGTGCCGAACTGGTGTGCTTCGACACTTGTGTGCTCCAGGCATCAACTAGCAAGGATAAAGTTGTCTAACATTTATGCCAGAAAATGGTGAAGTAAACCTTTTAAAGCGCAAGAAAGCTAATAGTTGGGATACCTTTATCGATTGCACCACCGTCCAACGTGATCTTCTGTGAATGGTTTGAGTGAGAGCATAGTTGTTGTTGGCATATGAAGGATGTTGAACTATACTTGAGTGGGAGCGAAGCCATAGGAAACTAGTGAAGGCCTGCACATGTTGACATGCAAATTGTTTGTTTGAGTTGGGTATAAGGGTGAAACAGTATTTAGTTTACTCTAAAGTTTCCCTTAGGATAGTTGCAGCTCATGTGTGAGTTTTATTAGGTAAAGCCAATGATTAGACTTTAGAGTCATCGGGGGCACAATGTCCTAGACTTATTCTAAAACTTTAAATCGGTGGGATGACGTAACTACTATGTAGAGCCTTGCCACGAAATCAAGAGCTCCATGTGGCCTCTTTTGGTGAGCAGAACTAGAATTGGGAGTTTAATGCCTTACTGTGTACTAACCTACACCCCACCAAGGATGTTGATGGATGATAGTTATGGCCCCAAAAGTGTCATGGTTATTCTCTAAGAAGTGTATAACAATTCATCTGCCGAATCAACTAAGCTCAGAAATGGATGATGCTAAAGTGCGCGATCTATTCCTGGTCGTCAAGGCAAGGTAGTTGCTGCAAAACATGGGGCATGAGCTTGGGTGGAGCGATCATTGGAGCCAATGCTATTTAACATGGACCAGTCATTGGCTTGGTCAAGGTAGTGGATCAATGGGTCTCTAGTTGAACCGGATTTATATAAAAGAATATAATAAATATAATAATAGGAGTATTATAACTAACAAGTTGCTGTGACTTAGTGGTTGATGTTACACCTTTCTGTGCTGAGGTATTGGAATCAATACCCACCAACTCAACTGCACTCTTGAAACAATTTCATCAACAACCCAAAAACCAATTCAACTTTAAAACTGGTACTGGATCAGCATCGGTCCAACCCGGTTTGAAATGGTTCACCGGTACAACTCCAACCTATCCAACAGTTGGATAGGATTGGTTGGTGGTCAGGTTCCCAAATCAACTGGCCGGTCCGGTCTAGTTTTAACAACACTGATTGGTTTGGGATGTGGCAACTAACAATAACGTTAAGAAGTTTGGAGATGTCAACGGTGTCCCATCAAGAGTTATTTTTTTTTGTTTAATAGCTTGCCCACCTTGAAAACAGCTTACCTAGAGGTAGGGTCTCCATGTGGTGTCCGCTGAGTCCTCAGCAACCCTTGATAGTACAGATGACTGAGTGCCTTCCACGGTTTGTCTTTTTTATAACCAACAATTCAGGCAATTCAAGTTAGCAAAATGGATCTCCAAGTGTAGAAATTCAGCCAAGCATTGGTAAACGAGTGTAACTCTGACAATTTGTGATGTGTATCAATGGGTTAACGAGATCCCCAGTTAATGGCAGCAAAACTCAGCAGGGAAAGAAGATTGACAAGGAGTATAAAATGCATAAAGAGTTGTTTTCTTTGTTGACCTATCTGATTGGATGTTGTTTTCTTTGATTGACATGAAATCATGCTATACATTATTGGAGTAGGAAAATTGGGTTTAATAAAACATATTGGAACTTACGGAGTAATATTACCTCAGTTATTCCTTATGAACTAGTGAAATTAAGCCAGGGGAAATGCTGAAATTTTATGTATACATCATGACCCACATATTTGACATTGTATTCTCGTTATAGGAACTACCTTTCATCTGTATTGATACAAGAACTCTTTCTTACTTGGGATCATGAAGATTTGTCTCTACGTGCAAAGGTGAGTTTAGTTAGAAAGAGTAATCTTTATTTTCTTCTGCCTGATGAAAGTTGCATAATTTCTGATTCTTAACATTTTCATTAGTATTGCCATCCTTGTGTATGCATCTGTAGGCAGCAAGAATCTTGGTAGTGCTCTTATGCAAGCATGAGTTTGATGTGAGATACCAGAAGGCTGAAGATAAGTTGTATATTGCTCAGCTATATTTCCCACTTATTGGACAGGTGTATAAAGTTATTTTAATTTTAATTTGCTTACATCTTGATTAATTGAAACTTTTTATGCGGACTTTGGCCATAAAAAGTTTATGTGATTGAATATACTTTGACAATTTGGCAACTTGTATTTAATAGTTACTTGACCAGAATCTGTAAGGAATTTATGCAAGCTTGTGCTTCAAAATGCCTATAAGAAGTTAATGGGCATCGTGTAATTGATATACTGGCCACAATCGGAGTTTCTAATTCCTTTCTTTTCTTTTAATTTTTATATAAACAAATATATGTGTTGCAATCTGAATATTTGGGAAAAGAAGTAGTGGACATGGCATCAATGCTTCTCTCATGTGATAGCACTGAAGATTTTTGGGTATATTTGGATTAGGAATATGTGGAGTTGAAGCAAAATCATGACAAGTGGAAACTATATGATGTCGGCACGGATGTTAGGAATAAACTGAAAAATAATATTTATGTAATTCTTTTTATTGTGGCTGAGATAGATGGTTTTGTCAGCAAGATTTATGAACATTCAATTCAAACAAAAGAGCATGAGATGTATTAAGATGGCTTATGTTTATAGATACCCTTTGTCTTTTCAGGTTATTTTGCTGAATTGCTTCTTTAACAGAGAGCTTAATAAATAATAAAGGATGTGGTTTGTCTCATTTTTGTCACCTGCACAAAAATTATTCTAGATTGAATTATTGTGCCAGACCAGTTAATATGGAGATTTATGGGGAAAGGGGTGAGACTGGGCCAATAGATCTAGAACTACATCCCACCACAAATGCGCAAAATTTGGATGTGGATTTAAGCGTTGAGGTTATTCTTTGTAATCTTCATTGATCATAATGAATTCTGTGTTTCACCTGTGGATGTAGGTCTATAGCTCTGTAGATCGAACCACATTAAATTCTGTAATTAGACGTAGTAATTTGGGCCCTGAGACCTACATATTCCCCTATAGATTGCACATGTGACTTTTCTAACGTAATCTGCCTCAATACTAGAAGAGCATGTAGAAAATAATTCTTTGTAGTTCTGCCTGCTCTCCTAACAAGCACAAATTTAGTTTTGCCTTCACTGAAGCTGGACATCTATTTATACAATGGCAAAGGTGTAGGTGACTTGACTTATAGTAGTTTATATTTGTTATAACATCACGTGCCCAATGATTTGATTCTAATTTTATTTGATCAAATTGTTATCATTTTTATAAAATTTTATTTCGTGACTTCCAATTTCTCTGATGTATTTTCTGTGTCTTTTCAGATATTAGATGAAATGCCTGTTTTCTACAACCTGAATTCTGTTGAAAAGCGTGAAGTTTCAATTGTAATTTTGCAAATAGTTCGAAATCTAGATGATGCATCACTTGTCAAGGCATGGCAGCAAAGCATTGCCAGGACTAGATTGTTTTTCAAGCTCATGGAGGAATGCTTACTTCTATTTGAGGTTAGACTTGATGCAGTAATTTGTCATTGATCTGGATCGTTTGATTTATTGGCTTTTATTTATTTATTTTGATGTTTCGTAACATTAATGCCATTAACTTGGACAAGATATCTTTGGCTTGTAATCTTGTTTTTATTAATTTGTTATAATTGTTTTGTTAATTGGCATGTTTTACAGCATAAAAAACCTGCTGATGGCATGTTACTCGGCTCCAGTTCTCGCAACCCTGTAGGGGAGGCTCCTGCTTCCCCCAAGTACTCTGATAGACTTTCTCCTGCAATCAACAATTATCTGTCTGAGGCCTCAAGGCAGGAAGTCAGGGTGAGCCAACTGTTGCTTAGCTATTACTAGTATAAGATTCTAGTATAATTTTCTGTTGCTTGTTATTGTTACTGTTTGATTTGCTTCCTAGGTACAGGTGATTGCATTTTGTGCATCTTATGCCTTAAATTTTTGTGTGGCAGCCTCAGGGAACACCTGATAATGGATATTTATGGCAGAGAGTAAATTCCCAGTTAAGCTCTCCTAGCCAGCCATATTCCTTGAGAGAAGCTCTAGCTCAAGCGCAGTCCTCTAGGATTGGCGCTTCCGCTCAAGCACTTCGAGAGTCTTTACACCCACTTTTGAGGCAGAAATTGGTACTCTTTTACTTTTTTTGTTCGAGTAATTGCTGTTAACATGTTTTCATCAGTAAAAGCAGAAGGATGTAGTGTTTTTCATCCAATTCTTTAATAATATAGATGAAAAACACGGCATTATAGTGCGCTATACAGTGGCACAAACCGCACACAATGCTACAGTATACAGTGGCAGCCGTAGCAGCCACAATTTGAAGCAGCATTCCGCAGCCATAACGGCTCAATTTCCACAATAAAAGGGATGGAGAGAGATTTTTTAATGTTAAGGGTGTTGTTATTAACTAATTATTTAATTTAAAGGGTAGAATGGACTCTTATACTTTTTTACTTCCGAACCCTATCTCCCGCACAATCTATTTACTTCAACTCTTGATCTGCAAAAGTGGCTCTGTTTCATCTCTCTTTCTCACCCATTTTTCGGCAAGCCAAGAAGGAATGCTTCCATCTGACTCTCTCATTTTGTGGCAAGTCAAGCCCAAAAACCGTATGCATTTGTTTCCTTCTCCAATACACCATCGGGTATTATTTATATATATGTTGATATGGATATATGATTAATCTGTTTTGATTTCTCTCTTTGCTAATTTTTTTGAATAAGTTAAATTAATAATTAATATATTATTATTTTATATGAAATAATTATATATTTTATATTTTTATATCACATAATTGAACTTCATTGTAGCGGCTATATTGCTACCCTCTATACCACTATAGCATTTTTAGGCTTGACCACTGGCAGCCGCCACCCGCGATTGATAACTATATTTAATATAAATTCATATTGTAAACTCCCATCTGTTGGCTTCAATTGTTGCTCTAATTTATGGGTAAAGGATTCTCAATCTCATGCCTTTGTGCACAATTCCTAAATTAATCTTCAGCGGTAATGGCTCCTTGAACTTGGATATATGTACTATTCATTTTAAATTTCTACTCATTTGTTTTGTGTGTTTTTACATTTGGTGGCTTACACATTCCTCTCTACTGTTCTTTTTGGTATGGATGTCTGTATATTGCAGGAACTTTGGGAGGAAAATTTGAGTGCTTCTGTCAGTCTTCAGGTTTTGGAGGTGACTCAGAAATTCTCCCTCATGGCAGCATCCCATAGCATTGCTACTGACTGTGGAAAACTTGATTGCATCACTGCCGTATTCATGAGCTTTTTATCTAGAAATCAGCCACTGACTTTTTGGAAAGCATTTTTTCCTGTATTTAACAGTGTATTTGATTTACATGGGGCAACGCTGATGGCAAGGGAAAATGATCGTTTTCTAAAGCAAGTCACATTCCATCTCCTTCGGCTTGCAGTTTTCCGAAATGAAAATATCAGGAATAGGGCAGTTGTTGGGCTTCAAATACTTGTGAGGGTATGTTTTGATCTATTTAAATTTTTAAAAGTAGTTACTCTGTTTGGTTTCATATCACATTGATCTAAACCTTGTTTTTGGTTTCTCCAATTTGTGCAGAGCTCATTTCATTACTTTACGCAGACAGCAAGGTTGAGAGTCATGTTGATTATCACATTATCAGAGCTAATGTCTGATGTGCAAGTGACTCAAATGAGATCTGATGGAAGCCTAGAAGAGAGTGGTGAAGCACGGCGACTCAGAAAGTCTTTAGATGAAATGAAGGATGAAACTAAAAGTGCTTACCTGTTGAAGGAGTGTGGATTACCTGAGGGTGCTCTTGTGGCCATACCAGAAAAAATGACAGAGAATAGGTGGTCCTGGTCAGAGGTGAAATATCTCTCTGACAGTCTTCTTTTGGCCCTTGATGCTAGCTTGGAGCATGCGCTATTGGTAAGTTTTAATTATTTATGCATCATTTTAGCCTTTTATTGCTGAAGATCAATTATACAGTCAACACAATTCACTCTGAACTTCATAGTTGGGCTAGATTGTATATAGTTGGGCTAGATTCACCATTTTAAATGTCTAATCAGCTCTTTCTCTAATATGTATGTTATACACATAACATATTGTTTTCTTTTATAATGGAGGATGATTAATGTAGCTTCCTTTTTCCTGTATAAATGTTTATTTATCCCCTCCAATGGAAAATATGTAAATAATGGAAACAGTAGTATTGAGAAATTGAAATATAAAAAAAATCTTAATTCTAGCTTACTTGAATGTCCAAGTTTTTTCTTTTTTGGATAAATAAATTGTTCAACTGTCCTTCTAACTAAAATGTTAGGGGGAGTTGGTTCATCTGAAGTATGATTAATTCAAATGTGATGTATGATGGGCCCTTGAGCCCATTTAAAAAGGTTTACCAAAGGAGAATGAAAGCCTAAGTGCTTGAGGAAAATAACAATGTGACAGTAAAGGAGGATGAAGGAGGGAAGTTAGTTATTTGAGAAGCCACGTGGCGTGCTATGAATGGATAAGAGGTAGTGGGGGAAAGCATGGGAGGCCGTTCCACGAATGAAGAAACAATATAAGGAAGTTAGGATCTAATAATGGGGTGTTAAGAATGCATTCTTCACATCTAATTGTTGCAAAGGCTAATCAAGATTGGCATCAAGTGATAGAAGAGCTCGGATAGTGTTAAGCTTGGCATCAGGGGCAAATGTCTCCTGATAGTCTATCCCATGAGTCCGAATGAATCCCTTAGCAACCAATCTGGCCTTACTTCATTTAGGGATGTTTGTGAAAAGTTGTGACATATGTCAGCAACAAAAATAGGATAATCTGCTTCCTGTTGGTTTACTTCATCCGTCATCAATTCAATAAAGGGTGTGGGAGGACCTCTCTATAGATTTTATTGGTGGACTGCCCAAATCACATCGTGTGGACACAATTCTGGTCATAGTAGATCGCCTGACGAAATATGCACATTTCATAACATTAAATCACCCTTTCGATGCCCAAGACATTGCTGCTGTCTTTGTTAAAGAGGTGGTGTGTTTGCATGGGTTTCCCAAAACAATTCTATTGCATAGAGATTGCGTTTTCATGCGCAAATTTTGGGGTGAATTGTTCAGACTATCAGGCACAAAATTGAAGTTTAGTTTTGCATATCATCCCCAAACTGATGGGCAAACGAAAGTGGTCAATCGTACCTTGGAAACTTACTTGCAGTGTTTCATTAATGATCATCCTCGCTCGTGGTTGGGCAAACTGGATTTCTTGGGCTGAATTCTTGTTCAATTCCTCTTACAACAGGTCCATTCAAATGACACCTTTTGGAGCATTATATGGCCGAAACCCTCCCACTATTGTCAACTTCGATATAGGAGAGTCTCCTGTTGTAGCTGTAGAGCAATGGTTGGCAGCCCGTGATGCTATCTTAGCTGACCTCCAAATGCATAAGATCAGCAAGGGATGAAGAGTCAGACAGATAAAGGAAGGAGGGAGGTTGAATTTGAGGTGGGTCAAGAAGTTTATCTAAAAATTCAGCCATATAAATTATGTTCTTTGGCTGAGAGACTTAAATCAGAAATTGAATTCAACCTTATAAATTACGTTCTTTGGTTTAGAAATTGAGTCCTAGATTTTGTGGGCCTTTTAAAATTAAGGCAAAGGTAGGGCCGGTGGCATATCATTTAGAGCTTCCTTCATATTCAAAGGTGCACCCTATATTCAATGTTTCACAATTGAAATTAGCTGTCCAGCCATCTGACGAAGTATTAGATCTGCCTCACTATCTGACGGTCCAACTCCTTGGAACTTCAAACTCAGCCTTCTGCCATTTTAAAAACACGAAGATTGCTCAATGGGAGAATTGAAGTCTTAGTGCAGTGGGCAGAACTTCCAGACTGTGATGCTAGCTGGGAAGACCTTGCTGACTTTCAAGAGCAGTTTCCAACTTTCCCCCTTGGGGACAAGGTAAATCTTGATGGAGGGGGTATTGATGGGCCCTAAGCCCATTTAAAAAGGTTTATCAGTGTTGAGATATATAAAACCATTAAAAAGCCCTCACCCACTAGCTTAAGCTTTTGGGTTGAATTGGTTTTTTACATGGTATCAGAGCCTCATGTCCCGGGTTCGAACCTCGCCGCCCCCACTTTACTTCTAGTGGAATTTCTTTCTTCGAACAGGTAGGTGGGCCTATACATTGTCCACTCTTCAAGCCCAGTGGGCTCTCGTGTGAGGGGCCATGTTGAGATATATAAAACCATTAAAAAGCCCTCACCCACTGGCTTAAGTTTTTGGGTTGCATTGATTCTTTACAATCAGAGGAGAAAGAAAGCCCAAGTGCTTGAGGAAAATAAAATGTGACAGTAAAGGAGGATGAAGGAGGGAAGTTAGTTATTGGGGAAGCCACGTGGCGTGCTATGAATGGAGAAGAGGTAGTGGGGGAAAGAATGGGAGGTCGTTACATGAATGAATAAACAATATAAGGAAGTTAGGATCTAATAATGGGATGTGAAGAAAATATTCCAAGTAAGGGGAGTGGAGGCTGCTGAGCATGGTGCTTAGTTGCTGGGTTTGAGACTATTTCCAGAAGACGGGTAGCCAATAGTCTATTGGAAGTCAGTAGCGTATTATTGTGATTTCTGAGTCATAGTTGTAATTGCTCTATTTTTCTTATTGAGACAATATTATATGTAAGGAGATTATTTCCAGTAATGTTGCTTTATTAATATAAGTTGTGTTCTGCATTTTGTTCTGTTCTTGTTCTTTTGGGTACCAACAATGTATCAGTTGATAAACTATTTTCAGCTTGGATAAGAAGAGGCTACAAATATTGTAATCCAATTAAGCCAAAGCCACAAAATGGATTTTTTTGGGTCCTTTTATTTTATTTTTATTTTTTTGTTGTTTATTTTTTTTTGGGGGGGGGGGGTGTTTCTTCTGAATTCTGATGATGCCAACAAACCACACGAGACGGATTTACCTCCATTTTGGAAAAAATTTATTAACTTCAGAAATGATTTTATAACCTCAGGATTCTGATTTAGTTGCTTCATCCTACTACAAATGGAGTAGGAGTAGGAGTAGATTCCGTTAGTATAAACTAAAGTTACTTGTCCCTCTTCCCTCCTTCTAGGTTTTTGTTGGCCCGGGGGGGGGGGGGGGAGGATTACAAGAGACATACAAAATCAGAAAAAACTAACTTACAAAACTAGTTAAGATGCATGCAAGCTAAGCTAACTCATTTATTTTCAATTTGATTTTTTTCCCTTCTCAAGATGGAGGTGGAATGAACCTCCTCTCCAATTTGTATGCTTATCTGTTCATGGCGTGATTCCTGATTTGAATACTAAGTTTAATCCCTTTGTTTCAGTCCCCTGTGATGACTATGGATAGATATGCTGCTGCCGAAAGCTTCTATAAATTGGCAATGGCATTTGCCCCAGTCCCTGATCTTCACATAATGTGGTTGCTTCATCTATGTGATGCACATCAGGAAATGCAGTCTTGGGCTGAAGCTGCTCAGTGTGCTGTTGCTGTTGCTGGTGTTGTAATGCAGGTAAGATGTGATTTATTTGTGCTGTTGCTGTTGCTGGTGTTGTAATGCAGGTAAGATGTGATTTATTTATGCATACATAGTGCAAACCTAAGAATTTTGTGACGCATAAATTATTGTGATGGGCATATTTACGGCTCGGAGGAATTTTTAATGTCAATGTGATCTATAAATATTTTTCTTTTTGTAGGCATATTGATCAGTGTAGTTCTTGGATATTTCTTTCTTTGATTGGACAAGCCGTGACCACACCAATTAGGCTTTAAATCTAGACAGATACAGGGTATGGTTACAATGTAAAGACAAAGTAGCAATGTCCTTGAATATTACTGTCCTTTGCCTCTATATTTCTACTTAAACAATTTTACCTATTTTTTAACATCAGAAGTTGTGGTTGAATGCTATTAGGAGGGAAGTTAAGGAAAAGTGAACAGACAATTTATCCTATTCCTGCATTCTCCTTCAATGGCTAAGTTGCACTTCCCAACTGGCCAGCTCAAATTATCATTATCTGAAAAATGAATATCCGTTTTTCTCTTTTCTTTATTTTTTCAATTTGATATCTGATTAATGGCCCCTAAGATTCACTTGTCTTGCAAGCTTTAGCGTGTAAATGAGATTTTACTTTTTTACCATTTTTAAATATCTCTAACATGTCTACTACTGCAAAAAATCTGTTCAACTTGAACAAAATACACCAAGTAGATGTCTACCTGTATATGTTAATATTAGATTTACTGACAAGAACTGGAGGTGGGAGGGCGGGACGATAAACATTAAAGTTTGAATTTAAACTTTAGTCCCTACATTTTCCATTCATTTTCAGTTTAGTCCCCATAGTTCTTTTCTTTTCAAATCAGTCCTTACTAAACATTTTCAGAATAGTACTTACCACATTTTCTGTTATAATATCATCAATATACTCCCTACTTAAGGTTAAACTTTTGTTTTGGACAGTGGTCTCTTCAAGGTTTAACACAAATGATTTGTTGTGCATGTGTAGACCTCATAAGGTCCGTTTCTCTAATTTTTGAGTTGTGCTTCAAACGTTCTGAAACAAATGGTAACCTCTTTTAGCAATTTGAGGTAGCTTGGCAGCTTTGAAATAAATTGTTTGGAGATTGTTGGATATGTCCACCTAATTTGGAAGTCTTTCTCTACACGTTAGTAGTTAGTGGTTCAGGGAGTAGAAAGGAAAAATAAATGCTTTGGCATTTTGCTCTTATTGCTGGATTTTGGTGAATTTGACTGGAGAGTGATTCCTCAAGTTGTGTCAATAAATTTCATCATCCACACCTTGTATGGGGCACGGTGGTGGTCTTGGCTTCTTTGTGTTTTCTGCTCATGGGTTTATATGGGTGTTACTAAGTTGGAAATGCAAAGAGATTGGGTTGACCTTTTTGAGCTGATGTATTTTTCTTTATTACTTTCTTTTCTTCCCTTGGAAGGATTCATGATCCTCCTGTTTTGTACTCTCTTGCCTCAATGATTTCTAATTTCATTGTAAAAGTTAAAAGCCTAGGCTTGGATATCATATCCATGAACCTAATAGCTTAATTTATTACTTTATTAGTTATTTGAAGCAATAGAGATTATTTATTACTTAGCATAGTCAAATCTGAAATGGTCGGGCTCCCTTCTTTAACTCTTAAAACAATCTCTTTCAATATTATTTGTTTCTTTTACTAATAGCATCCTTTCCATTTTAGGATTCATTCTCTCATTTTTTTACTTTACGCCTGTGGGAGGAGGGGTAGGGGAGAGCCTAAAGCTTCCTCTGATTTATGTAGAAACACATTTTTTCCTGGGCTTACTTCATTGTTAAATTTGATGTAGGCCCTTGTTGCAAGAAATGATGGTGTTTGGAGCAAAGATCATGTTGCTGCTTTACGTAAGATTTGTCCAATGGTCAGCAGTGAGATCACGTCTGAAGCATCTGCTGCAGAGGTAGAGGGCTATGGTGCTTCAAAACTGACAGTTGACTCTGCCGTTAAATATCTGCAGCTTGCTAATAAGCTCTTCTCACAAGCTGAGCTGTTTCATTTCTGCGCAAGCATTCTGGAACTTGTAATCCCAGTTTACAAAAGCAGGAGGGCTTATGGACAGTTGGCTAAATGCCACACGTTACTTACCAATATCTATGAGTCAATACTTGAGCAGGAATCTAGTCCAATTCCTTTCACTGATGCAACATACTACAGGGTTGGATTTTATGGTGATAGATTTGGGAAACTTGACAAAAAGGAGTATGTATACCGGGAGCCTCGTGATGTACGTCTTGGGGACATAATGGAAAAGCTTAGTCACATATACGAGTCTAGAATGGATGGTAATCACACTTTGCATATTATTCCGGATTCTAGACAAGTGAAGGCAGAGGAGTTACAGGCTGGTGTCTGCTACCTACAGATTACTGCTGTTGATCCAGTTATGGAAGATGAGGATTTAGGAAGTAGAAGAGAAAGAATTTTCTCTCTTTCTACTGGTAGCGTCCGTGCTCGTGTATTTGACCATTTCTTGTTTGATACCCCATTTACTAAAAATGGCAAGACTCAAGGTGGATTGGAAGATCAATGGAAGAGACGCTCAGTACTTCAGACAGAGGGTTCATTTCCAGCTTTAGTAAATAGGCTATTAGTAATCAAATCTGAGTCCCTTGAATTCTCTCCTGTGGAAAATGCAATTGGAATGATTGAAACACGAACAGCTGCATTAAGAAATGAACTTGAAGAGCCTCGAAGTTCTGAGGGGGATCAACTTCCACGACTCCAGAGTCTACAAAGAATCCTCCAAGGCAGTGTTGCAGTACAAGTATGTTGTAGTATTGGTTCTTAATTTCTTATTACCCATCATATTTTAAATGCCATTTTTCCTGCTGCTTTCTCAGTCTTTTCATTTTAATTTTGGTTGCAAGAAATTCAGTATTTCTTGAGACCCCATTTTTGGTTTCCCCCCTGATGGTGGGAGTTTGGGTGGTCGCTAAACCCCCGATATGAATATTGCCTGCTTTACTTTCAGTTTCTCAATTCTGACAGCAAACTGCTTTTTGTGCAGGTGAATAGTGGAGTTTTGAGTGTTTGCACGGCCTTCTTGTCTGGGGAGCCTGCAACAAGGTTGCGATCGCAGGAACTTCAGCAACTAATAGCTGCTCTTCTTGAGTTCATGGCTGTTTGTAAACGTGCCATCCGAGTACATTTCAGATTGATTGGTGAGGAAGATCAGGATTTCCATACGCAACTTGTAAATGGATTCCAGTCTCTGACAGCAGAGTTGTCACATTATATTCCTGCCATTCTCTCAGAGCTATGACACTGGCTCAAGTATACAAGTATTTGCTTTTTAATATTGTTCGATGTGCTCATATGCGAACAGTTTTTTTTTTTTTTTTTCCTTTTCTCTCAAAGATGTGCAATCACATTTGCATCATGGTTCTTATGTTTAGAATTATGCGAACCAGTCGATTCCAGGAAACATGAATCATCCTATTTGTGTATCATCTTGTCTCCACTTTCCCCTTTTTTGTTTGTGGTGCGGGAAATGATGTCTTATTTCTGTTTAATATCTTATTGTTTAAAGTGGTTTTAGCCATACAATTATTGTGCACTACATGTGTAAATCTTAGAGCACTTTTGCATGGAGAATGGAAATGAGAATGGAATAAAATGCATGAAGGAGCTATTGGCAATCAGGGGAATGATTATAAATTTAAATATAAGTCTTATGTACTTGTAAATGGACAATTTTAAATGGACATTAAAAAGGGTCAATGGGCTGAGTAATGGGCAACCTCTTAGTATGTGTGTGGATTTATATACTACAAAAATTTCAATCAATATTTTCTTTACGGGTTTTATAAGAGTTATGTTGTAGGAAAAATGATTGTTTTATGTTATAGAGATTCGTTTTGCGTGTCAGAGTTTTTTTTTTTTTAAAACATGCGGATCCCACAAAATGTTGTGTGTAGGAAACTTTTTGTGGTCATGTTAAATGATAGAATGGAAACCCTTTCTTTACAAGGATACTAACTACAATTATTCGTCAGTGTAAAGCGGATTGAATCGAACCGAATCGAATTACTTTTGAACTGAACCGAATCACTTCCGAACTGAACTAGTTTTGAACCGAACTGAATTATTTTCGAACCGAACCATTTAAACAAATTCGGTTCGATTTTTCAAAAAATCTGGTTCGATTCGACCCATGCACATCCCTAGCTGGGAGGTTACATTTACTTGATTTTATAATTTGCGTCTCAGTTCTCATCAACTCATTTTTTATTTTTTATTTTTTTGGTATCTCTAAGAAACCCATTTTGTGTTCACATGTCAAAATTATAATTTGATACTCATCTTCTATTTTAAATAAGGTAACGATTATCTAAAGAAGACCATGCTCAATCAACATATATACAGCTTAGGCTATGATGCGCTTGATAAAGTGACAATTGGTTGCTTCTTCGATGCCCAAGAAATAGCACCTGTACCAATCATAAAAACATAACCTGATGTGCTCTTCCTGTCATCTTGATCTCCTGCATAATCACTGTCAGTAAATCCCACTAAATCAGATTTTACACCCTTCTTGTAAAATATCCCGAAAGTTCTTGTTCCTTGCAAGTAGCGAAGGATTCTCCTTAGCCAAATGGCTTGGCACGAGACACGATACGACACGACACGCCGACACGTTAATTCTAAAAAATGTCATATTTCGACACGTTGGGACACGTTTTGATATTAAATAATATTTTTGATATATATAATATAATTTATATTTAACACATAATAGCCTATAATAAGTCATATAATCAATCAAATATTCAAATTTCATAACATAAATATAAACAAAAATAATTTTTCGTACTTTGTTAATTTTTCATGTCAAATTTCATAACAGAAAAAATTGATTTATAAATGATTTTTTTTATTTTTAATTTTTAAAATAAAATTAAGACTAAAAAAAAAAAACGTGTCGGAGCGTTGACCACGTGTCGGAAAAAGTTGACTGTGTGTCGGAAAAACGTGTCGGTGAGTTGACCACGTATCCTAAAATGTTGATCGCGTGTCGGAACGTGTCGGAGCGTGTCCGTGTCGGACACGTGTCTGACATGTACATTTTCAAAAAATTAACGAGTCGGTGCTTTAGAGGCCGTAGGTATCTTTCATTTTATAACTTTTAGTCTTTTTTAGGTGTTGCTTTAAATTGTCAACGTTTGTGAATGACTACGTCCTCTCTTCAAAAATTACTGAATTGATTTATCACATTAACTCGATGAATATTTCGTTTGTTTGTGTTAAATTGATTTTCCAAGCAACCTCAAACTTTTAAGATGTGATTTTAACTGGCCATCTTGTGAATATTGTAAATAGAGAGTAGTTTACCACGAGGGATCAGAGAAATTCTATTGCGTAATTTAGACACATGGATTTTAAAGCATGTCGCAGTATACAAAAGCTAATGAGAGAAATCCTATTTTTAACTCATCTCTTCGTGGATCCACTTTCCATTAATGAAAATATTTTTGTCCTCCTAGTTTTTGGACTCTTGCTACGTTTTTTTTCGACAACTATCCTTGTAAGTTTCTGATCACTGTAATTTTTTCAAAGTTTTTTGGTCAACTTTCCCACAATTTTGACCGCATTCTTGTAACACCTCGTTCTGGACCGGCATATTAACACACATATGATATTACGTATAGTTATAATCACGGCAATTGAATTAAAATACGGTAAAACTTTTTCTTTTATAAACGACGTTTTCATTTAAAACAACCGTATTTAGAAACAATTCTCAAAACATGATCATAACCAAAAACACTTGTTGAATATAAATTTCGACTGCTTAAATATCACACAAAACATATACAAAGATTGCTAAGTGGTTCCCATATACCAACAAAGCAAAAATACGCTGTTACGCATTGAACCAACCTGATATAGGTTTGGTTTTTACAAAACTGCACTTGACTTGTTTACAAAGAAATTTTAATCATTTAGAATTTTAAACTAGACACTCGAAGCTTTCCAACAAGGTATCATAAGCTTAATTTGAACTTCTACAACTCCATATATGTTTACCGTAAGTTAACTGCTCAAAACTGTCAACATACGTCAATAGCGAGTCTGCACTATTTTACAGCGTTCCAAACTGCAGCAAAACCACTTATATGTTTTCTCTCAATTTTGGATATGTTATATTTGACACCTAGACCTTCAATTTTATATATTATAAGCCTTGTTTCAACAAGAAACGAAGGAGTTATGAATTTTCTAAGTTAATCAACTTCTGCCGTCAATTCCATTGCAAACTGGGCAGCGAATATAAACAACATACTACCCCATAATTTCTCTCTTTGTTGTCCCATATTTTAGGACATTACAGCTCACATCCTAAGCTTCACAACGACAACTCACACGACTCATTTGACAAAGAATTGAGTGAGATATGACTTACCAAAATCATACACACTACACTTACATTTTCTTATAAATTTTGACAGTATCTCCATTGTTTTTCCGACAATTAGGAATTTCACAATTTCACTTGGTTAACAACACTTAATTAACACAATATTCATTCCATTCGAACTCCATAATAAAGATGGCTATGTGCCATTTATTTAAACTACCACACAATGTTTACATATATTCGTTATTCTTTACAACATATTTACACAGGCAACGTAGGCCTTTCAAAACATTGTCTCCACTAGTTATCACATCAAAACAACTATCAGCTTCTTGCATAATTCTAGTCTTCATCCACTGCCCTCTTACCATTATCCTTATCTTCCATTCTAGAAGTACCTAAAATATATTCCCATAACGCGGGTGAGATAAACTCAATAAGCTCGGGGTTTATGGAGAAGTCTCCACCCACGAGTTCACTTCCTGCATTACATGTTAAATTCCCAAACACCGAAAACACCATATATTTTCATATAATACAATTTAGTATCTTCACATCATTTTTACCTTGCATTAACATACATAACCTTTCACTTTAGAGTTTCTTTACTTACTTCACAAACATATTTAACAATCTTATTCTAGCAATCATAATCAACTAGAATATTCTTCAGAATCAGAGACTCTTATCAGAATTATCCACAACAGACAATTCTCATAATCAAAAGATTGGTACTTTACACTAATCAAGTTAACTAGAACCATCAGAGTACACAAACATCACAATCATCAAAACACATCAAAATATTATATATTCTTGTTTTACAAAGTAGTCAGAACAAATCGAAAATCATATATGTTCACAATAATACTTATTCTCAGTAATTCCACCAGAGATATCCTTTTTATGGACACACTCAACTTGTACAACCAAATTATTAATGGGCATCGTACTAGAATTCTTATATATATATATATATTTCATAACACTCTTACTCCAAATCACAACTATTTATACCGGTATACTATATTTATACATTATGCTTTAATTTGTTATCAAATTAATCACAACACAACATTCTTTTTGCTGACAACAAAATCATAACAATGCATTAAGTACCCACAACACATAATTTCAACACAACATATTCACATCAAAACAGAATTCCAATCATAAACACAATCAATTAAACACGTCAACAAAACATATTAAATCAATCAAATCATGTCAAATAACACATCAATCAAATATAATAAACAACTACCACATGTTATCTACAAATTCAGGTTCAACATCATTTATTAGCTAAGATCATCAAATCATACATATTACACACATTGACATGTTAATCATAACAATCATACATAATTCACATTATATCAACACATTCATCATTTTGCATTTTAATCATAACAAATCATACAGTTAATACAATGTTTTTTAGCTTGTTTTAAACATTTACAAGCATAGTTTTACATAATTTTAACATATAACCTCAAAACAACTTCAAACCACATCAAACAGCATCAAATATTCATGATCTTCACAAACCCTAATCAAACTTTAACACCATGAAATATTAACTTCCAACAATCAAAATTAAGAAGTAATACCTTAAATAGCTTCCTTGAACACAAAGCTTTCTTTTCCACCAATCAATTTGTCAAAAACATAACTTTCTCTCTCTAGGTGAATAGTACCAACTCTCCTTGGATGAAGGTTTCTCTCACTACAAAGCTCTTCAAGAAGAGAAGGAAAGAGATTTAGGATCACAAGATCAAAAGCTATCACTTTTGTGTAATAGGTTTTATCTAGAAATACCGAAAACCACTTGAACTCTCTTGCTCTATCTCTCTAGACACAAGGTTCGGCCATGGAGAAGGAAAGGAAGAACACACATGTGTGGGACTCTTATGAAGAGTGTATGACCGGTTATACTTAGTGAAATATCACTAAGTTACTTAACTTTACAACTTTACACATTTGCTCATATCTTATTGGTCCTTAAACTTCCCACTTACTTTGTCATCTTTTCCTACAACATTCTAGATCCTTTACACTTAAACAA